AAACAAAAACCAATCACAGCAAGCTTTTTGCGAGGCTGCAAACTGATTGAAGATTGGGAACATTTGCGGGAGGTGCTACACCATTCCACCCTCTCTCTAAATTCTTCCTTCTCCTTTTCCCGTTTTCTTCAATCTCCTCCCCTTCCCTGTTCAAAGTAATTCAGTATGCCCCCTCATCAGTCAGGAGAGGCTAGGATGTGCTGTGGTACAAAACAACCCCCAAGCCAGTGGCTTACTACAAGTGTTTACATAGCAATGAGACCTGCATTGATGCACTTTGAGAGGGTACCTGTAGAGATAACCTGAGCGTAAGTTCCACACGTACATCTTTACACCATGGTTCGTTACTCAGATACCAAAAATATTATAATATGCCAAGGAGGACCTCACAGTTCCCTAAACGGGGCAGTTAACTTTGTTTTGGCCTAATGGTTACTAAATTAGTATCTGTTTCAGAATCATGTGGGGACTTCAAAAAATTCAGATGCTTGGGCCCATCCACAGATATTGTGATTCAGCAGATTTGGTGTCCAGGACTCTAAATTTTTAACAAGCCCCCCCAAGTTCTTCTGAAAATTATCCAGATTTGAAAACTATCCCTATGTTCAGGGGCCAACAAACGACAGCCCTCAAGTCAAATCCGCCCCACCACCTGTTTCTGTAAATAAAGTTTAACTGGAATGCAGCCAGGCCCATTCCTTTATGCACTGTTTATGGCTGTTTTCGTGCTATCCTGGCAGAGTTGAGTAATTGAGACTGAGACCATATAGCCCACAAAGAGTAAAATATTTATTATCTGGTCCTTTATAGAAAAAGTTTGCAGACCCCTGCTCCTGTTTCATAACTAATTTCCAGAGTCGTGTTATGACTTGGGATGGGAACCAAGTACGGCAATATAGATGATCACTACTGAAAACAACACCTGGACTGAATTCTTTACAATCCTTATCTTCATACAGGAAGGATGATTCTTTTTTATATGTATTGCCAGCCAATTTTTTTCCTGAGTTATACTGCCCCCTAATGGTAAAAAAAATTTAAATCACAGGTGCTTGATCAGATCAGACGGCCCCCATCGTTAATTAATTCCTGAAATCAGAGTTCACTTGGTAGAACTGAGCAGGACTAAACAGCCTGGAAGAAGCTCAGCAATTTTAATAAGAGTTAGAATCCCTTCCTTCTGTAAAGTTCCTTTCTCTTCAAAGACTGCTACTCCATGTAGCATTTCCAATTAGGTCATTTATCTCAAGGTGATAAATTTTTTCGGGGACACTTTGACCATTTCTGAAGCCATGTGTATCTCTAAAATCGAAGCACAATATTATCAATACGGCCAAAATGATATATCCACTCACTATGATGAACTGTGATGAAAGGAAAGCAAGCTTAAATAGGAATCTGGATGCATGCAAACATATACCAATGTGGCTGCCAAGGGGGACTGCACACACGTTGGCAATAATGACACAGAAGAGGATGAAACCATTGGTTTTCCCCCTTGACTACTGATTAAAATCCTCTGAGGAGGTTTGAAAAAATAATGATGGCCAGATCCCCACCCCTGGAGATTCTGATCTAATTGGTCTGGAGAGAGGCCCAGGCGACAGTAATTATCTTTTTAAGCTCTCCAAGTGACTGTAACGTGCAACCAAGGTTAAGAATCATTGTTCTACGGCAGTGTTTCTCAAATTTTAAGATATATTCAAATCATCTGGGGATCTTTTTAATTTGCACAGTTATTCCGTAGGTCTGTGATGGCACCTGAGAATCTGATTCCTAATAAGCTTTAAGGAGATGCTGATGCTGCTGTCTGTAGACCACGTTTTGAGTAGCAAGGAATTAATCATCTCTAACCACAATTTTTGCGCAATCTCACTGGTTCTGAGATCTTAAAGTACACAAGTATCACCTGGGAGCTAACTAAACATGCAAATTTGCAAGCTCCAGTCTCAGAAATTAAAATTCAGTGGATCTCAATTTTTAACAAGTGTCCCAAGTGATTCTGAGATTCATAGTCTGAGGACCAAACACACGCTGACCTACACAAATGATATTCTACAAATCACAGTTTTGAAAAAGGCAGCAGCATTGTTTATTAACAAGCTACCTTAACTAAATGTGGGGAAACTCTTCTCTTGTTCCAGGTGTGAGAAGAAGTTACCCCCAAATTTGGTGGTTTAAACCAACAACAATTTTGTTATATCTCACGATTTTGTGGGTCAGGAACTTGGGCAGAGGTTGGCTGGGTGATTCTTCTGTTCTCCCTGTGGTGTTGACTGAAGCCACTCAGTGGTATCCAGCTAGCAAACAGACTGGTCTGAAGAATCCAGGTTGGCTTCGCTTCACTTCACGTAGTTTGTCTGGAAGGTTGGGCCCAAGTGGAACTGTCACCTGAAATGCCTACACATAACATCTCCAGTCTAGCAGTCTCGGTTGGGATAGTAGGTCTCCTTGCATGGAGGCTCAAGGCTCCCAGAGATGGTGTTCTAAGACACAGACATGGAAGCTGCCATTGTCTCAAGGCCTGGGCTCCGAAACTGACACAGTGTCATTTCTGCCATAGTCTACTGGTCAGAGCAGTCACGGAGCCCAACCAGATTCAAGGGAAGGAGTCATAAACAGGCTGGAGTCATGAGAGTGTGACCCCTTGAAGAACTCCAAGTGCAGTTGCATAGGGCCCTGAACTCAAAAGGGCCTCATGCTTGGTTTAATCCTCTGCTGTTGCCATCTTGAAATTCTTTACAATTTTTGAACAAAGGGCACTCCATTTTCATTTTGCACTGGGTCCTACAAATTATGAAGCCTGTCCTCATCACAAATCTCAGCTTTCAATGGAAGGAGTGTTAAAAAATTTGTAGGCATCTTTAATCAGCCATAAGCTGCCTGTCAGAGACTTTATTCTCACCATACTTCCATACTCAAAGTTATCCCTTCAAAATGCAGACTGAGGTATGTGAGTTAAATTCAGCATAAAGAAGGGAAACAAATTATGAGATTGTAAATTAGACTAAATTCTGTGATGTTTTAGGATTAAGAAATATGTTGAAAACCAACCACACTATTATACTAAGTATCTGGTAGCACTCTATATCCGATCACCTCCGGGCTCACTCACTCACGTAGGTCACTGAGGCATTAACCAACAGTTATCCAAGGTCAGAAGGCACACAATTTATTCATATTGCCCCTGATGAGAAAGATAGCCAGTAATCACTATTTGGGGGATGTCTCCATGATCTCAGCAAACCTGGATTTGTATTTGGGGGCACCTGTAAAACTATTTAAAAGTTAAGGAACGCAGTAACAACTCCTATGCTTTTTGAGAAATGGGGCCACATGTGACATCTCTTTGGGTCATTAGTCATTTCCACTACATTATGTTTTTAGCAGAAGCTCAATAAGGGTTGCTGGTGATGAATCTATTCAACAAACGGCATAATAATAACAACTACCCAAAATCTAAGACTGGTAGAATGTAGACAATTAATGGAGAACAAGTTCAGGAAAACAGTTAAGTACAGTACTATGCACACGTAGGGGAGGATTGTTGGATTGACACCACTGATGTGATAACCTTCATCTGAGGCACATTCCAAAGGAGGTGCAAAACTAGCAGAATTTTTCAGAGGAGGTGGTCAGAAACCTAGTGGATGATCCTTAAACCACTGAGCCACATTGAGGGGACAAGAATTGGGAGTTAGAGATGAGGAAAGACTTTAAAGGGAGAGAGTTCTTGAGGTACTGTGATGGTGGGAATGTTTCTCCTTATCTCAGGAGACTACCTGAAGAGCTTAATATGTATCTCCTGGAGTTTAAAGAACACAACTCCCTCCTGAAGAAAATCTAAAGGGTAAGAGAAAGGATGACTGGTTACTGTGATGGAGGGAGTTGGAATTGGCCTGCATTCCCAGAGTTCTTTGGGGCAAAGACTGTGTTTCTTATTGTTAGATATCGTGACGCCTGAAAGACTTGTTCCTCTAGCCACCGGCAGTGACGCCAGCAGACAGCGCTCAACTGTCAGTCCCCACAGAGACTGCTTTGGCTGAAGGGAGTTGGTTACTGGCTGGTACGTGGGTATAAAGTCCCAGCCTCCCAGCCCAATTTAGGATAACTCTACAGGGCCATCCCAGCTCCAGAAGTCCCTGTTGATTGGCTGAGGCCTCCCTTAAGGACTGCAGCAAAGCGCAGCTTCTCCCACTGCCCAGTCTTGCTTCTTTTACTTCCTTTCCAGAGGTGTTGATCCCAAGGACACTCCCTAATAAGCCTCTTGCATGGTTACCTCCACCTCAGAGTCTGCTTCCCAGGAAACCTGACCTGTAACACCTGTGGTCAGACGCAGGCCCCCCCCCCCCCCCCCCCCCCCCCCCCCCCCCCCCCCCCCCCCCCCCCCCACACACACACACACAGGCCAATGAACCAGAGTGGATTATCTTGATTTGTCCAAGGGGGACCCTGGAGGTACGCACAAACATCAGCAGAGAGGATGCTTCCAGTCTCACTGGATTCCTTACAGCTGGGGGAGGAGTGAGCATGAGCTGGATGAGACCTGCACCAGGTGGAATCAAGGAAATTTCCAGCTATGAGGGGGAGGGGGTCTCTGAAGAATTTACAAAATCAGCTATGAAAAAAGGGTGAGCTTTAGCCATTTGCCAAGTCCAAAGAGCACCAACATCCAGCTCACAGCAGTGTCAATCAAATAAAGCCTTTCCTGCCCCCTCTCCCAGGGGTCTGAACCTGGAGAGGTTAGAAACCCGAGTTAGCAGTCGGAAGGGCTAGAACACAAGATAGGCTAAGGGAGAAGATGCCAACTCCACCTTTCCCTGACTTTAAAGTCTAAAACAGCTCCCCCATCTCTTTTCATTTTTCTTATCACCTAAAATCTCACCCTTCCCCCAAATACTGTAACACTCTATCTTTCCCATTATTTGGTGAGATGCCCCACAGTTCCTCTGGTGTGTGGCCTCCAACGTCCCTTGCGGCAAAAAGTGAAAAGACCTCACCTTGTCTAAGGATTGTCTCTGGTGGTCTCAGGCTGTAAAGCTTAAAGCTCTTGGCTGGTACTGTCCTGCTGGTCATTCCAACTACATGCAAACTTGGAGACACACAGTCAGAGGCACGTAGCAGACGCTCAATACATTTCTCAGATTTCCCAATTGCCTTCGTGGAGCGGGCGGGTCCCAAGCAGCAGCCGCGCAACTCGCCCCGCCCCATTCCGCTGCCCCGCCCACCCCGTCCGGCTGCCCCGCCCACCCCGTCCAGCTGTCCCGCCCCTCCCCGTCTCGCTCGCCCCGCCCCGTCCCGCTCACCCCGATCGGCTGCCCCGCCCCATCCAGTTGCCCCGCCCCATCCTGCTGCCCCGCCCCTCCACGTCCCGCTCACCCCGTCCGGCTGCCCGCCCCGTCCTGCTCTCCCTGTCCCACTGCCCCACCCCGCCCCGCCCCGATGCTCCGCCCCGCCCCGCCGCCCCGCTGCTCCGCCCCGTCCCGCTCACCCCGCCCCGCCCCCTCCTGGTACCCGGCTGACGGGCAGCGGCTGCCGCCCGCACCATGGGGACGGCGTCGTCGCTCGTGAGCCCCGCAGGCGGGGAGGTGATCGAGGACACGTACGGGGCGGGCGGCGGCGAGGCCTGCGAGATCCCGGTGGAGGTGAAGCCCAAGGCCCGCCTGCTGCGCAGCTCCTTCCGCCGGGGCGCGGGAGCGGCGGCGGGGGCCGGGCCCGGGTCGCTGCCCCGCGGGACGGGCGGCGGCGGGCTGCTGGGGGCCAGCTTCAAGTCCACCGGCTCGTCGGTGCCCGAGCTGGAGTACGCGGCGGCCGAGTACGAGCGGCTGAAGAAGGAGTACGAGATCTTCCGGGTCAGCAAGAACCAGGAGTTGTTGTCCATGGGCCGCCGCGAGGCCAAGCTGGACACGGAGAACAAGCGGCTGCGGGCCGAGCTGCAGGTAACGCGGGGCCCGGGCGCTCGCCGGGGGCGGCCCGACCCCGGGAAACTGAGGCCGGGGGCGGCCTGCCCACGCCGCGCAGCCGCTTGGCTGCACCGCCAGGCTGCACGCTGGACGCCTGACTCCGTCCCTCGTCCGTCCTGTCTCCTCTCCAGAACAAGTGGTTTTCAAAGTTGAGCAGAAACTGCTCCGCGTTTTAATTTGAGGGAACATATACTCTTGGGGTCTAAACTGATTCCTTAACTAACCGCCCTCCTTTCTGTTTCTGGTTCATTCATTCAGACCCCTTGAAGCAATTAGCCTGACAGTGTCTTGGAGCAGCAAATGCCCATCTCCGGGGGCTCCAGGGAAGTATGTTCACCCAAGATACACACAAGACTTTGGTCACAAGCGTTCAAGCAACTCAACACACTCCTCCTAGTAGTTATTAACTCCCTCCCTCAAATTTTACTTACCTCCAAGGTGGGGCTCACGTCTCGGTTTCTTTGTGAAGTTCGATAGGTCTTAGGTTTTAATGATCTTGAAGTGAATTTTTCTGCAAGTCCCCTGATTTTCACCATCTTTACTGCTGTGGATGAAAGTGTTGCCTAGGTGTAGTCAAATTCCCTTAACCCATTTGATTAATTTACTCAAAAACCATTATTGCATGCCCTCCCTGTGGTAGATCTATTTTGACTGGTCCACATAGCCTGTAAAGAGCCAGCCCTGATGGCCTAGTGGTTCAAGTTCCCCACGCTTGTCTGACGCAGCCCAGGTTCGTTTCCTGGTGATGGAACCATACCAGTCATCTGTCAGTAGCCATGCTGTGGCAGGGGCTGACATAGAAGAACTGGAAGGACCTACAACTAGAATATACAGCTTTGGGGAGGAATAAAAAAAAGAGAGGAAGATTGGCAACAGATGTTAGCTCAGGGTGAATCTTTTCTAGCAAAAAAAAAGTTGAAAGTAGTTTTAAAAAAGCATATAAAGCAAGAGATTTCTTCTCTGTGAGCAAAGTTGTGAGACTTTGTGCCATCAGTTTTGGGCTCATCTGAGGGTTGTGGTTTGTTTATTCTCTTTCTTTACTATGGAAGAAATCTAGACAGCCCAAGTGTTCCTGGGCTCATCACAGTAGGAATTGAATAAATACCTCAGACTAATTTTTCTAAAAGGAAGAAGCCTTTTTCCTTCTAGACTAGGGGTTCTAGTCACCCCCCCCCCGCCCCACCATTAGCTGTTGTATAATTAGCGCTGTTATCTGGGAAGACATACTTATCAGCAGTCTATCTGTTGTCTTATCGCTTTTCCTACTGGGCAGTCTTAATGTGCTTGCATGCATAACATGGACCAGATTTCAGATATCAGATTTCATGTGTTCAAGCCACTGTGCAATGGACACTGCACGCTGGAAATAACTGAGATAGAAGTAGAAAAGAAGGCTGGAGCAACCAGGGAAGAGTACAGTAAGGGCTGACAAATGTCACAGTCCCAGGTTCCTCCTGTTAGCAATCCTGATTCCTTATGTAACCCTTTTAGTTCCTTTCTCCCGTATCTAGGCATTAAAAAAACTCTTCTGTATTTGTTTAATCCATTCAGTCAGACGTTTACTGGAGGCCTGCAGTGTGTCAGGCACTGCAAGCACTCCAGGGACAGCAAAATGAGGAAGACATGGAACCAAGGAGCACGTGGTCTCACTGAATTAATTATCCTTCAAGTTAAGCCTTACAAATTGTACTTTTTGTTCTCTTAAAGATGAGAAAACTGAGGTGTAGAGAGGATTAAGAGCTGGTGCAGTATTTCAAAGAAAAAGTATTAATTTCCATTGAAAGCTTAATGTTTAGTGTCTTCATTTACTATAGTTTCTGTGTTTGCAGTTTTTTCATTATGTGTTTGAATAAAACGCCATTAATGCAGTTCTTGATAACTGGTAAAATAGTAAGTAGATTGTTAAAATTCTAAGATATGTAGGATGTTTGTAAGATAATGTAAAACTTGGAGAAATACTAATTTTATTAGAAATAACAATGTAAATTATTCCAGGCACTTCAAAAAACTTATCAGAAGATACTTCGCGAAAAGGAAAGTGCTTTAGAAGCAAAATACCAAGCAATGGAGAGAGCAGCTACATTTGAACATGACAGAGATAAAGTTAAAAGGCAATTCAAGGTAAATTCCTTTTTTTTTTACCTGCAAAGTGACATAGAATAAGAACAGTATATTTTTAAAGTTCCTATAATGCTGCGATGAATAAATAGAAGTAAATGATGTAGGAGTCTTGAAAGTTATAAAAACTAGATAGAGCACTTTTTACATATTCAAGTTGAACCTGGTAAACTTAAGATAGTTTCAAAGAAAAGGTATAAAAGTGAACATCTTAATAGGGATTTTGAAAAAAAAAGGAAAGTGTTCTCTATGGGGGGAAGGCATTTGGAAATGTTTGGGATGTTTTCTCTGGGAGGACACTGCGGGCATTTAGCGGGAGGGGGACAAATCTGCATCCTGCAGTGCACAAGACAGCCCCACACTAGAGACACGCATCCTGCAAGAATTCCTGTGCGTTCCAGTAAGGGAACAATGAGGTGGAGGTACTTGGATAATTCATCCTACAAAAGAGAAGATCAAGGACTAAACGAATATTGGTTTTATGAATGAAAGATTTTTCCCTTAAAAGCTGATGACACAACTTTTTGATTATGGAAAAGGTTTCAAAATTAAAATTCTTCTTTTAAAGATTTTTAGGGAGACCAAGGAAAATGAAATTCAGGACTTATTGAGGGCCAAGCGAGAGTTGGAGAGCAAGCTTCAGAGGCTACAGGCTCAGGGGATCCAAGTGTTTGATCCTGGGGAGTCTGATTCCGATGACAACTGCACGGATGTTACTGGTAAATTTATTTCCTATTTATGATATTTTGAGCCTTCAGTATAGGTGTAGTGATATTTTAGAGCCAACTTTGAATCCTTTAACCTATAAGTGACTGCTGTTACAGATAGACTTGCACTTTCTCTTTCTCAGCTGTTATGACAGCTCTTTTCCATGAAATCTGTGACGTTGTCAGGGGCTGAGGTTCTTTCTGTCTTGTTGCTCTGCCAACCTTAACTCATAGCTTGTCTCTCTCTCCTCTAAGACGGCTCCTCCAGGTCCCACCGTCACATCTGCCTTTCAGCCAGGGGAAGAGGGAAAGGAATACATTCCTTTCCTTGAAAACACAATCAGAAAGGTATACAGATGCCCCTACTCAAAACCCGTTGGCCAGAACCTCACCTAGGAAGATTGGAAAGTGTAATCATTAGCAGGAGACCCATGTATCTACCTAAAATTTGGGGTTCTGAAACTAAAGGAGAAGGGGAGAATGGATATTGGAAGACAGCTAGTAGTCTCGGCCACATTGTTATTCCCCATAATGATGTATTCTTTGCAACTGTCAGTTAGAATATCTGTATTCTGTTTCACTGAGTGGTTTCCAATGCAGCTTTGTGAACTATTCAAAAAGTTTTTATTTTATAATTAAACATATAAAATAGTTTTTTTTCTAGATCTAACAAAAGCCTGGAATCATAGAATGAAAGGGTCCTCTGTATTCCAAGAAAATATTATTAAAGTGTGACTGATACTGAAAAACAAAAAAGATTCTCTTTTAAAGGTGGTGGAAAAATTCAGTCACTCTCCCATTTATAAAAAACTGTAATTATATTCTTACAAACTGATGCATTTTGGAGTAAAATATGACAACTGACAATTCCTTCTTAATTTGCATTTTATACCATTGGAATCTGACCAGCATCCTGGGACTTTTATTACTAACTTTTGAGAAAAAATATGAAGTGATTCTTATTGGTGTAGAGTGACTAAGAAGATGCTTTTATACCCCTACATTAGTCTTAGTGGTTATTTCAGTATTGACATATGTTAAAATGCATAGTGTTTCAAAATTATTGTATTGTAATTGTCCTGGCAAGTTAAGGAAAGCAAGTTAATATTTCGTTCTAGGTCTTTCTTCATATTTTGATTTAAACATGAAGAAGGAGTGCCTGAGGAAATGTTACTCATTTGAGAGTCAAACATCTACAAATAATAATCTCAGTTTTGCCAGAGGTTTAGCCCAAATACCAGTTTACTTGTAGTTAGTGAAGGATGCCATGTAGATATTCTGGCAAATATAATTTATAAAAAAAAATCAACATGTTCATAAGTACCTATTGATTCAGACATTAATTCTGTTGCTCTTGGAGGTTAAAGAGTATATACTTTTTACATTCTCAGTTTACATCCTAATGAATT